ACTCGCTTCTCATCATCATCTTATTAGTAATCATTGCGAACTAACCAAAATGATGCAGTCCTTGAAGTCTTGGTACTATGAAATGGATATCAAAGTATGTAGGTAAATCTGCCTACTGCAAAGAGAGGTCAAGCATTAGGAGTTCGAGTCCTTAAAAAGTTTACGGTAAGATCGTCCCTTATGATGTAGCATGGCGTAGCATGTCCCTCTGAAGGCCCTCGTACCCTTGTCCTTCCTGTTTGGTTGCCCCACCACCTAAACCCTCACCGTCGGGTTCGAAATTTTGATGGGAAGGCAGAGCAATACGTCCATGTTAACGAAAGTAGCTATCGCAGGATTGCGTCCAGAACGAAAATAAATTACCAAAGGGTACTGTTCGCAGTGTTTGTGCAGGCCATTTCTTCACCAACCTTCGATCTCTTAAATATCATTCCCATATGGCGACCAATTTATCGAAGCACCTGCATTTGAAGAACTCGAATACGGTAGGTGATCGCTGAGGACCTCACCAAATCATGAGATGCGTAAAGCCGTTCCTGAGTGCCGATATTTCGAAAGGAAGCGAAATGCTTAGCGCTTGCCAAAAAACTAATGAAAGGCGAGCATCGTCATTCGTATTAAGCTAACTAACATGGCGAATCTATAGTGACTAGGCTATCCAGGCTGCTTGAAGATGTGATGTTTAGAAGTTCCAAACCATTACAAAAACCGTTCCGTGATCGGTTTGCTATAGCGATGCATGGAAAAGAGAAGACACAATTCCAAAGAGAACACATGAAAGTAAGCATCGCACATGTCAATGCTGCTTCCTTCCCTTACTCAATGTCTTTTACAGAGAGCAAACAGAACAGAACAAATCCCTCAAGTTGCTTGGACTTTTTCAGAAGTTTCTAGCATGTCTGGCTCGCTGCGGAGTAGAGTAAGATTGAGAGTCCATCTAAGGCCCCTCCTCAAATTCACTAAGCCGCTAATGTATACTAATAAAAACTTCCGACAAAATTTCCCTATTCCCCCTAAGCCGCCGCTTGTAATTCGGTTTTCGCTAGTGTTAAAATCCGCTGACTCACGTGATGTGGGTCATGGGCATGTGCTGGTTCGTGATGTCCTCCGTGATGATCAATGTGATGTTCTTCGTGGTGATAATCCTAAACGACAAAAAATATGGAAAGGTAGGTACGGTAAAAAGAAGGTACGGTAAAAAAAAGCTCACGTGCTGGCCGTGATGAGACATTTTGTTCGACGGATGGACGGAGTTTCATGTTCGCCATTCCCTACTATATAGTGCCGCGATAAGCAAATATTGCCAGAGATAAATGCCGAAAAAAGCGTGCTGAGTCAGCATTGATAAGCCCACGTGAAATGGTTTCTTATTTGTGCACGTTCCCGATATGTGCTAAGCGCTTGAAAAGCATCCGCTAAGGTTTGGAAAAAAAAACTGTGAGTAACATTTGCTCACAACCTCCGAGAAGCCAAAACCTATACAAAAGCTTATGGTCCTAAACTGTGAAAAAAATGATAAAATGGATCAAGTGGGCGATTGACCGCACCGTTGTGATGCATCACACATATGTTTCCATACACTGGCTTGTCGGTAGAGCCCATACCAGCTTTGAAAATTTAATTCACTCGCTTAGTGAGGATCGGGTCGCTAACTTGACGCCGACAATGCCCGCTTGCGCCAGCTGCTGCACACCAACCCATGGCAAACTACGGTGATCAGCATCCTCGCCGATCAACTGCATTAGTTGGGTAAGGTGCACAAGCTGGAACGGTGGGCGATTCGAGCTCGATTGTGCCAGGTACCAGAGGCTAGAGAACAACTCTCGTAGAAGCCTACAGATGGCTAGCCTGAAGCCGTCGCCACAGAAAATGAGAAGCAGTGTCTAAGATTAAATCAAGCGCCGCCGGATTAGGGCAACAAAGGTGACCAGCCTTGAATTAGTAAAGGGTAGGCGTTCGTCTTCTAGGGTTGTGGTGTGTTTTTGGTTGGCATCCACTACGGGCTACGCTCGCAGTACTCCGTTCTTGCGGTGGCCTTGTGCTACCAGGAGCTGGTGTAGATTGGACCGACAATACAAAACATGAGTTCGAATCGCGACACGATCCAACTGCTGGACGGCACCGCACTGTAAAAGGGACTTCAGTAGCAACTTGACTGTATATTCGAATATGCCTCGTTCATCTGAAGCCTAAACCAACGTTCTATCCCAGCGGAACCGACTTCGACAACAAGAAATCTTATTGTTAGAGAATAAAAGTATAGTCAACATAAACACATGTTAATGGGCGGAAACTTTGCCTCGAAAGGGACTCAAAATGGGACATTGTTTCGTTCAAGTAATCGCCATCATGACACACTAAAGGCCGCGTTTACCATCAAAATAGTATTTGACGATATACAATTTACGGTAGATCATCAAGTCTCATAAATTCACCTGAAAGGAACCTGACGAAAGCGAAGCAAATGAAAGCAGGAACTGTGGTATTGGTTGGTATCCGCAAGTCGTTTTGATGGAATAAATTTGCATGAAGTTAAAAATGTCATTTGTTTTACTCTGCTTTTTGTTTTAAATATTATTTACCCACATTTGACAATTTAGGGAATTAATGTGATCAAGGAATTGTAGAAGCGCACCTAAGCGTGCAACAAATAAATAAACAAATAAACAAATAAAAACAAACATGAAATTCAAATTATGGCTGTGAATGTCTAGTTTAACGTTATGTTTTTTCATAGGGGAATGACTGACTTTTACTTCATCGTCCTATTCCTCATACACAGTAGCACATCTGTTCTTTCAGGGTAATCAGCATTATGATAAGGAAAATCGCATTGCTTAAAATTGTTCTGGATCGGCATAAACCCGGGTTAATTCTATGAACAATAATTGTAAGAAATTATTTGAAGTTTGACATTGCGTCAGAGTATCCCAATCAGATTCTATTTTTATACATATGAAAGGATTTTTTGCTTACGCTCGCCTTTTTCCTATTCAAGCTAGCATTAGAGTTTCCTGGTAGTAAAAACTGTTGACAGTGATAAAGCATCGAAAAATGGCAGTAAAGATAACATAAACTTAGGAATCGTTGTGTGAACAGCCGGCGATTTGAAAGCAACTTTCATGACAGCCATCGATTCCAATCAACAGTGGTTCCTGATAACTGAAACATGGCGAGCTTTCTTTAATCACCAAAGTCGGTAGACCTTGACTAAAACGTTCAAGGAGGAGTCTCACTCTCAACTATCATACGAACAACGTGTTCAGTTTTATTGTCGTTAGGCTAAACCTTGTCTCTAAAACTATTAAGTACCAGTTCCGGCTTTCTACAGCCAACAGTGTCAAAAGCAGCAAAATCTCCGATCAGTTACTTCCTCTTTTTTTATGGAAAGGTGGCAGTATGGAGGTTTCTAACTAGAAGGTCAGACGACGGTATGGACAAATTCGTAATTTGGGCCAGGTTTACTTCATATCTCTGGGTGAGCCGATAAGAGATTTCGCTCGCTTTGTGTCACTATTTCTAGGGTGTCCCCCAAGAGGCCCATCGCGCGGCGAAGGAAGAGACGCAGATGCGGCAAAGGACGAGTCGCAGCGCGTGCTGTGCGATATGAGACGTAGTATGGTACACTCTATTTAACCTGACGCCTAACCGCTACAGTATGCGCTGCGACTCGTCCTTTGCCGCGTCTGCGTCTCTTCCTTCGCCGCGCGATGGGCCTCTTGGGGGACCCCTCTTTCTACTCTGGAACATGTTCTCCTATCATGAGTAAGTACCCATTCTGGAGAGCGTCTTCTGTTGCATAGTGCAATCTTGAGCCGTCGCATTCATTGGAAGGGTTTCGATAGATAACTTCGTCAGTGAACATGCACAATTGAAACAACGAAAACTACCATGAGTCTCTCCTTCTCCTATGCGTACAACTCCGACAGTGGCGCCCTATTTTGTGGGAGTGTTTGCATTAGCTGGTGAGTTTTCCAAAATAAGGAGAAAGTAGCCGCAACAGAACTTCCGATGAGTTTGACTGTACCGCTAATGCCTTTGAAATTCATTGAAAGCTTCCCATTTCAGTTCAGGTAATTCGAAATAACAGCGAATGGCCTTTGAAGTGGCAAGTCAACGTCAGTCAGCACTAACAGTTGCGAAAATTCCACAGTGAATTTCTTAGATTTCTGCTCGTTCTGCCTTGCGTGTTCTATAGAATGGACCTGGCACCTTCGGGATTTCGTTCATTTCAGTCAGCGTGCACCCTTTAACTGATTATATCTGCAGGAACCTCGACAACACTGGGATTCAGGCGTCCAACTTCTTCAGCCCGCGCCAGAAATTCTCTTCTGGAAAGGGCCTCTCTGCGAAGCTGGAAAAGTAAATTCATTGATCACGATGTGCAATATACAGGCGGGAGGGGAGGCAAAAAAGAGTCGCTTCCCCATGGCGCACATCGTCGCACAGGATGCCTTGCTGATGAATGTTTCACAGAAGAATGTTTCTTAGGCTACCCCCATAAGCAGAAGCAGCCTCTAACCCTACTGCCCCTACCGTCTGACCAGTGAGGATAACAAAAAGAATAATCTCATTGCGTTGATTTTTAATAACAGCGCGTAAAGATGAAGGATAAAGCATTTGCCGTTGATCAATCCCTTTTTGGGATGCGGCACGCATTCTACTTCCATTTGTACATTCGTAGTGGCGTTTGAATGCGATGTGGCCTATACAATGACTTGCGGGGCCAGCCGATGTACAAGTCAGTGTTTTTATCCTCCCAGACAAGTCTGGTACCAATTAAGCCACTGGCACCACTTCCGCCCCCTAAGACGATCACTTTGGAAAGAAAAAAACATTGGGAAGGAATAGAGGAGAATATTCTTGCGAATAACATCGCACTTACTCAGAGCACAGGGTTGAAAGGGTTAAGAAGTTTTATTTTAGCCTTGGGTTTCGATGTAGACCATAAATAACTTAAGTCTTCGCCGCTAAACTTCGACAGCTTCGCGACGGGAGCTGACGCGCGTAAGGGTGTTGAACGTGTAAACCTGGACGAGATTAAACACGTCAAGTCTTCCCAAACGTTACATCTTGCCGCACCCTGAGTTCATTCATTAAAGCGAGGGATTACGATAAGATTGGACTGGGTTCATAGTGGAAGTGGAGATGCTGAATAATGCCCCAGTGGCGAAAAAAGCAAAGAAATCCGTCAAGAAGGCGCAAAATGGGACCCCTTTCTTTGCCCGTTGACCTCCGATAATGGACGAGCTAGCAACCAATTAAGAGGTCGTTTGCACATGTTATGCTGATAGCCTCCATCCACAGCAAAGGCCATGCTTTGAACTGGTAACGCGTTCCATGGGAAAGTTATAGGATACGCACTCAAAGCGGAATACCTCATCAAAATGATAATCGAAGGGCGCTGCTGCTGGGGGCGGAGCACAGACCGTGGCGGAGCTCAGAAAGGAATGGCAAGCCTTGTACGCTGCAACTAGCGCACCTTTGACCACAAAAACGCAACATTTCGTTTCCTTGGGCCCCTGACTACTGCTTCCAATGGTGCATGTACTTCCACGCTGCACACGCACTTTATCGTAATCTCTCGCTTTAACTGTATATTAACCTGGGCCTGCAGATACCGACATAACTCTTGCAGTTTATACATGAATATTTTTCCTCGCTTAGGATTCAAGCTAGTGGCCCTTTAGGGTGCAGACATGTCATAAGCTCTTGTCGATCAATGGTAATTGCCTAAATTACCTACACACGGTCTAGGCTCTATACAAATGCACGAGCCTGCCATATCACGATTTGAAAATACGTATTTCCCACGTTTCAGAGGGTTTGAGAAAGCTGAATCATTTGCACTGTCATGAACAAGTGCATAAATTAGAAGGAAAGATGGGCCAAGGTTTCTTCGAACCGCTTCTATCCATGCCTAAAGGAATACTTGTGAGCGTTTTTGCAGAAAGTGTAGTGTACACGTCTAGTGGATCAAAGTGTACCGGTTCTCGATGAGGCGTGAATTTTCCTAGGAACTTAAGGTACGAAAATAAGAGCCTGCAGCCATAAAGTAAGAGTCAAAAGCAAAAATTGCTGAGTATTGGAGCTTTACATGTGGTAAGGTGCGTTTGGTGATGAAGCTTCACTCGCAAAAAGTAACACAAAAGTGACTCATTCCCTCTTTACCCTAGCCAGCAGGAGAAATTTAGGCGTCGTTAAGATGGCACTGGTTATTCTCGCTTATAGAACAATATTTCCATATAAGTTCCAGTTCTTTTTTTCAACTCAGAATTTTTTTGTTTTTTTTTTCATTGGTCAGTTGGTATCACGGCACTGTTCAATTATATCACATGAGCTCTACCTCGTGTAATAAATATATAATATCTTGTGTGCAAAAAGGTCGAACTTGTCACAGCCACTACTAGTGAACAGCACCACAAGAGAAACGCAATTTCAAGCCTCTAACGTTGCGTTCATTTTCGAAAAAAGTCTAACGTGGAGAAAACGAATTTTTCTAGCAATCTGCATCCGTCCTTGCTAGTTCAACGACATCTTTCTGAGAAAGCACAACTATCAGAAAAAATTAGGTCGAGGTCTCCTTCGTTGCGTCGAGCGCTGGAACATCTGCTATCTTCTGAGTTAGTATCCTTCTTCACATTTACCCTATGCTTATCAGATCTTGTGATATCCGCGCTAATACCACGTCTCCCAAATCTAGGGATAGATCCCTTAGCGGAGAGAGCGGGCAAGATAGGCTGGTCAGCGAAAGCTGCGCGGACCACACCCCTCTGCGAGTCGATCGTGAAGGAACTTCGTGCGTTCATTTCTAAGGTCGTAGAACCACTCTTATATTTTCCGATTCCAATACATATCAACTATCGATTTTTCTTGGAAACGTATGGGTGCGACATGCAGGAGAACTTCGATTTTTCTATCGCTGATATTTTACCTGGCGAGGTAGGTATTAATTTCACTCTTAAATATAATGCCTGAATTGAACTTGTAATTTTTGACGCGTTACCCTTATTCCAGCCTTTCTCTTGTCATCTGCGCCTGTACGACAGATTTCTGGATTATTTCTGATGTTTCGAACGAAAACGGAGTTAGCACTGGAAGTGGTCGTGTGAATTCTGGACTCATAAGCGGAATGAGAGAAATGGATTGGGGACTCGGTTCACGATATATACCCTTCTCAGGTCAGTCCGATTTTATGTTCATAGCCCTTTAATCCAGCTGTCAGTTCCACTCGGAAGTTTTTTGAAATCCTCTTGTACATTGCGGCCAATTAATACTTTGCAATTTTTTTAAACCATTCTATTTTTTAAGGCCAGCCCTTTAGTTAAGCACTCCATGTTATGGAAGAATAATGATGCTAACTTATTTGGGGGGGGGGGATGGGGCCACACGGCGGCGCGGCAATCTGCTCACCTGGGCTTTCTCGAGTGTAAACTCGAACATTCCAGCTTTTGACGCATGTCAAGTGACTGCTCCCCCCCCCCCCCCTCTACTCTTGGCCCACGATTCCCGGATGCAGGAAGAGCCTGTCGCGCGGAGTGCCCCCCTCCTAGGTTAGCACCAGAATAATTTAGCTGAGATTTTGAGAGGCCTCGAATCTTACTGCTTCGGCAAAGCTTTTGAGGAGCGATGCCTCCGCATTAGAGTGAGTGTGGTTCACTAGGAGAAGATTTTTCGGCGTTCCCGCAGGCGGGAAACATTTTTAGTGCGGAGCTCGGGCCTTGATATGAGGCTCGACGTAAGTTCCGGAGCATGTTATAGCGTTGCGAAACGCGAAAAAATGCGTTTTCTGTCCTAGTGAACCACACCACACTAGGGTTACATTTGTATCAAATTTCCCCTACCCAATACCCGCAGAACTTGGTTGGAGGATTGGTGTGTGGTGCCTATCAAAAAAGCTCATCGTGGTTAACTGCGCTACCTCTTTCATGATCTAGAATACTCGTATGCCTTGTAGGATTTCCTTCCTTGTAGGATTCTGAATAATCAAGGGCTCTGGTTCAGAAATCGGACGTTACAAACCTTTACTTGTTTTATAAAGGTAAAATTGCAATCACCTATTCCCCAGTATTTTTTCTGCAACACTTTCATCTCTTTGATTTCAGTCCTCACCGAAATACAGGATGGAGTCAGTTTTTACAATCGGGTTTTATGGATATTTATATTGTTTTTCATTGCACTTGGTGTGCTATGGATCTGCGTCGGTATTGTCACATCTCTTCTGTCTGCATTTATTGCTGAAGAAGAAACCATTGCGGGTCCAGTTGGCATGTATCTCTGGAGCTTATTAGCATGTAATTCTTTCCTATGGCTACTAATTTCTTTTGGCAATATTTATTTTTTTACTAATTTGATGCATTATGACTTGTTTTTGGTTGTCTATACTAGAGATGTTGATTGATTTATTGATTACTCAGCATTCCTGGTACAAGTTTCACGTGGCGAACATCGGCCAAAAGTAGCAGTTATCCATCAAAAACAACTCAATCAACATTACTGCAGCTTCAGCCTCTGGGTTTACTACCGATGTCGGCTAACTGAATTATCAGTTAGTAATGTGAGCACCGAAGCAATGGTAAATATACCATCAAAAGCTAGTCAAGGTTGAAAGGTCTTCATTCACATAACTACTAGCAGACTCGCTCAGAATGCAAGAGATGCGAGTGAGAGCTCTACCTGGGCTAAACTGCCCCCACCCCTCCCGCACATAACGCTGCATGCATTTGATAACATTCAGTTAAAGGAGGTCTCCACCATCAGGTCGGAGCTCGAAGAATGGGATATATACAAAACGCGTAAAAGCAGTGAGAACCGTAAGTGTGCGGGACGGCGCGTCATGAAGGGTATGCCCTCAGCGGCTCGCAGGGCTACACCCGGGCCGTCGCGCCTCTGCTCGCCCAACCCGGGCCGTCGCGCCTCTGCTCGCCCACCCTCTCGCCAAGTGACTATAGACATTTAGCAGACTTCTCCATCTTTTCAGTAGCCCTTGCAACACGAATTACAATTATGTGTGAAGTTTCGATGCGTGGCGCTTTAAGAAGAATCGTTATGAAGCTTTACGAAAATCAAATTATCGAGCCAATTATCTATCGCAGTTAGATGTTTAGCTACATGAGTTGGTCAATTTTAATCGGCAGCTAGTCAAACAATTGAAACCACCTATCACTTTACTTTATCATCAAAATAGTTTTTGTAATCTGCATAGTATTTGTTAATGATTTTCTTTGATTCTTGCTTGTCTTTGCATACTATCAGCTAACGTAACCCCAAAAACACCATGTGTTAAATCGATATAATCTTCCGCTCAAACTAACGATAAACCAGAATCAAAGCTACTCAACACTGCCCAGGCAAATGCAAGGGCGGTTAGTCTCAACCATGGCCGAATGAAGTGATTTTGTGGGCCTACCATTTATTAAATTTATTTCTTGTAATTGTCTCATAGTATTATGCTGTTACGGAGCTTCTTCACGATTTTAGTGTATAAGTACACAAAGAGGCACTGAAAGTTACCTTCGAAAAAAATCTAAGTTTGAGGAATTCTGAGAACGAAATCCAGCTAAAAATTCCTTGAAAAGCCTGTGCAATACATGTAATTGTAATATGTATTTCGATGTAGCACCTTCATATAGCCTGAAGAAATTGATTGTAGTAGGTTCATAGTTTTTTCACAGCCCTTATAATTTTATGATCCTCCAAATATTTAATTAATTACGAGCTCAGTGTCAAGCTTTTCAGTACCGCATGCAATCACCGTCACGTCAGTGCTTCATATACTGTTCAAACATGGGGTGAAGGGCAGGCTGAGCCGTCTGCTGTACCAAATACAAAAAGAGGGCTCTATTTGGAATTTCTGGGGAGCAGGGGATTGTGTTTGAGATCTCCAGAGTGGGACGTGATGATGGATCATTCTTGGTCATGCTGGTATTGGTGGTCGAATTTTCGCCACTTTCGGGGGAATATTCAGAAAAAAAAGTGCTAAATAGAGAGCTAGAGCATTTTCTATTTATTTGGACACTGCTAGCCTCCTCCTTCTTCCCTGACACGGCTGATGGTACTGATGAAAGATCATGTCTAGCCCTCGCCCTAGGCTCACCCCCCCCCGTTGTAAAGGTAACCCTTGGGGTAGAGGGAGTCGTGGAATTTTTGACAAAATGGACGATTGGCCGGCCCTGGTAAGGAGTCATTCACTCAATTCCTCTCTCGCTGCAGAAATTCTCATAAAAGTAGCTTCACAATTTTCTTGGGTGAACCACTGTAGGTCAGGAACACATAAAACCATTAATCTACCATAGTCAATGAAGTTTAGGCCTGTCGATGGTGCAAGGCACCCAAATGTAGCAAGAATTTTCAAACAATTCTTCGATACGATTTATCAGTTTGAAGACCTTTGAAATTCGTTTGAAACAACTTTTGGATACCTCTATTTGGGGGGGGGGTTCAACATTTCTGCTTGTCCCAGTCGTTTACGCTTGCCTGCTCTAAGAGGAGAAATCTCTACCGCAAGATCGCTGGTCAAGACCTTTGTTTGCTTTCCAGTTTCATAATTACGTATTTGCCTGAGATCAAATTACTCGGTGTATCGCTCAGCTAACTCTGGAGCTATCCCGTGCAGGGACCTGGTATTTATGATAAAGGACAAATTCCAGAAAAATGGTACTGTAAAGCCGATTTGATTTCGAGAAGTCATGATAGTCGAAAGTTCACCTTCACATTCTTTTCGAATTTACATCAAACTTCCGAATGACAGCTCAAATTCCAAGCAAAAATTTCCATATTTATTCTGCTACTTCGTTACTACTTTCTCTAACTCGTTCAAATATCTTAAACATGAAATCAATCTGTTTTTTTTCACATTTAATCCATTCATGTGTACATACGAGATACGAAAGGGGGGGGGGGGAGAGAAATAAAGAAAATCCTTGCAAATGTCAAATCATCAGCATGTTTTCGCCTACGGGCATCTAATAACAAGTTTTATGAATTTTTCTTAGATGTCATTTCCATGAGCGAATCAGTGCATCTACTGCCGGATAGAACGTCATCTTCCTCGTGCGGATCTTCATGACCATAGTTCTAAAGTCTAGTGACTTCTCACAATCGGTTGCTGCGATACTTTTAATCTGTAAGCTCTTGCAAGAATTAACTCTGACTAGCTTTTTTTCATTCGTCTAAAACAAAAAACCAAAACATTTCTATTGTTAAGCAGCTTTTGGGTGTTCCCGAAAATTGCGTCCTAATGCTGAAACGCTTCCATACGGTGTACATACCAAATCAATGAGAACACAATGCGGAAACTGCTGAAACATCATTTGTCTCGTACAAATGCTTAATGGCTGCAAACCAAGCAAAAATCTCCCCGTCCCGCAAAGTGTAAACTTCGGAACGCTCTCGGAAAATCCAATTTTCCACTGTAGAATCCACAAATGAGCTGCCCTAATTCTTTTGCAATTTTTGTTCATTGAGTACGTAATAATCAGAAAGCCAGCTTTACATCATGAAAACATCTATACTTTCTGTTTGTTATCGCTGTTTTAACGCACATTAGCGTATGCGTGTTTCAAAAGCTGGGTGTGTGAACAAACTTTCTCCAGGCGGAACATTGGATCATGACAAACAATCTTATATGAACGGTTCCAACACCTTTGCAAACTTTACTGTGAGAGTTCAGAAGTGGCATCACAATTTGACACAACTATTCGAGTTTAATGATAGACGTTCAATTAATTGGAATTACAAAAGGAATAAATTCTGATAGGTTTCTCCGCATGGGCGCCTGCCAATTGTGTAATGGTCGCTAGTATCCGAGTGAGCTGAAACTGTGCACCCAGGTCCCGTGAAAATTTTCTGAGTCCTGGATGGGAGCTGTTGAGAAATGACTTTTTTTGATTGTTAATGTGTTTTTGGCTGTGATCGTTGCAAGTTTGTAGACTGGATGCCTTAAACTTTTTGTGGTTCGAGCATTTGTATTATAGCAAACTAATATATAATTACGACGTAATGATTTGCTAATTAATCCTGGTTTTTAGACGGGAAAGTGAATCTTTTTTGAACCTATTGTAAATATTGACACTAACTTAGGTACATAATTGATTCAAAAGCATCGGGTTTGCTGCAGGGGGTAAATCAGGTGCATCTCTAGTGAGAATTACTGCTTTCATTTCATGAAATAATAAAGTTGATTAGCAACACAGTCTGACGTTCCGAAATGAACCATAACAACCGTTATATTTGTTATACCAACTGTGTGAAAATAAGGAAGAGGTAGATGAATATAATAAGCTTATTAACCCTTTGACCTCCGCGTTATGATGCATCACGTCCTTCTTATAATTTTCATCATTAATATTATCATTATTTTTCACATTTCACTATCGATTAGCGCATTATTCGCATCCCGATAATGTACTTTGTGTGTTTTGGACAATAAATGTCAAATAACCCTAAAATTTGTCAACGAAGCGAAATGTGTCCCACCGGCGGGCCAACGATCGTCAAAGTTACGAATTTTGGATCGTTACATATTCTGTCAATGCTTTATGTCTGGCACTTGTACAGCTCTTTCTATGTGTGGATAGATTATTCAATAGGGTTTATTACTCGCAGTAGACATAATGGAAGTATGTTAGTCTACTAAGTTTTTTGCACAACACAGAGTCTAGCACGATACTGCGCAGAGATTAGTGCGGTTAGCATTATTCGGCCTGTAAGGGACTGGGAATTGATCTCTGTGAGCAAGTTGATCAGAAACGTGACAATTTCAACCACATTCATGGACTTATTGCAGCGAAGATTTATATTCATTGTGAGCTTACCATAGAAAAGATGCTAGTGCAGATAGGTTCCAATTTATTTCTACGCACTCGCGTTGTTTCCCAGTTTTATTAGATCCATCCTCTTGTATTGGGTGTTGCAATGGTTATCTCGCTAGAGATAGAACTTGTCGATAACCACTCTCACGGCGGCCGTGTGCTTGTTAATCTGACTACGTCTGACAATCCGACAGGTTTTCGACCCACATTTCGGCTATCATTTCAAGAGGAAACGACCGAAAAAGAAAAGGAACATGATTTGAAGGGCATCCGACACTGCGTGATGGCGCTCTGGTTCACAATCGTTAAAATTGCTTCGACTGGTGCTGGTTACCAAACTAATGCGTTTCAAAGACAACGGACACTAGAATCAAGGTGTTCATGAATGATTGACAAAGGTGAGGTTTGAACCCATACCCTTGAAAGGACATGGGCAGAAATGGTGTCGTGGCAAGTGGCGTTGCTTACTACAATCACGGTGCGGGAATCAATCCTGGCTCATATGCACTTTAGGTTAACAAGGAACTTCCATGTCCCCGGGGTCAGCTAATTGGTGCCGAACTTATCTGGGAGTGTAAGAGCACTGAAGTGCATCGGTTGTCCCCCGCAAGTCATTGCATAGATCGCATCAGATTCAAACGCCGCTACGATTCTGTAGAAATAAGTAGAATTCTTGGTGCATTCCAACAAATATTGATCAACGTCGAATGCTTCATGCTTAACATTTTTGTGGAAAACTGATGTACTTGGTGAAAACCTGTCCAAACAGGCGACAATCTGCACTTCAGGGCAGAAGCTGCGCTATCAGCAGCGTGATTAGATTAGACGCTTAGGACAGGCATTACACGCATCAAAACTCATGCATCACTAAGAACGTGTTGAGGACTTGTTTTGAAGGCAAGCTCTGCGATCGAAAGGATGTGGGTTGCTGCGTTTGAGGATGAAGGAAGATGGAAATGTGATGGAAGAGTGCAAGCAAGGGGCATCTTCAGGCTTGCGCTGCTGGCTGATCCGAAATAGCAAATCTGCTTTCATTTTCGGATTTGATGACCCTCACCTGTTTAACCGTGAAATGGACCCTTGACTTGTCGCGTCGTTCCTACACCACCTACAGTTCAATTTAACAGACTTCGAAGGAACGGTCTCTCTCTCAACGATGTATGGATTTTTTCAGCTGTGAAATTTAAAGGGGCAAAAGAAGAATTCACGCATTTCGTACCACTTCACATGGTTATTTCTTCATGGCCGTACCACCCAGCATCTCTACCTCTTGTCGTCATAAAGCTATCTTGACCGTCTTTTACGGGGAGAGAAACCCTTCAAGGAATTGTAAGGGAGTTGCAGCTTCACTAACAACTAGCCACTGGCAAGCAGAGGATCAACCGTACCTTCCTTAAGAACAAAGCAAAAGATTTAGAGAAAGTCAAATGTTTTCTATGTTGTTAAATTCGTTATGATCAGAGCTATCCGGTAGGCTAAATTTCTTTTGGTAAATTGTTTAATTAATTTTTTTTGTCTATTTGAATTTTGGCCCATATTTCCACAAGTCACAAGAAAATAACCATTTGCTAAAAGGAAGTTGTATCACATTCTGGTGACTCAACAAAAATTGGGGGTGGTTTCATATGGAATTGCAGAAAAGAATTTTTGGCTAGCCACGATGAATAATTCCTTTTCAGGCTGGGATATTCGTTCTATTTCATGCTCGCCTCGCTCCTTGCCCTCTACTTTCCTCCACTGCTCGTGTTCCTTTCATCCGAGAGAAGAAAACAGCAAAACACTTCCAGGATACCTTCTGTAGATCCCACTGCCTTATTATATTGACAATTTGTTTAGTACTCACTGCCTTATTATGCTGACAATTTGTTTAGTACTAAGTACTGATTCGAATTAAGAATAATAAAAAAAATAAAATATGAATAATTTAATCGGTATTAGAATGATGGGGTGCAGCACATGGCAAGTACTTATCGCATGCGTTGCCATTTTCAATCCATTTGCCAATTCGATGCCACTCTTGAATGCGAGAAATCAGAATAAGAACTTCCTACGCCGAATTTCAAATGACTGGTCATTTTATCCCCTCTCAATAGATTACACATTGAACAGACCGTTGAGACGTCAAGCAGTTTTGTTGGCTCCCAACGGTCGAGAACGTGAAGCCGTTGTCACCTACTCCCAACAAACAATAGACGAATGTGGGTTACCCTACCCTTGGTTTTCAAACTTTTTAATTCAGTTGAGGGAATAAAGATTTCTGTTTCTGAAGTCTTCTGGACATTGCGCCATAAGAAACAGAAAACATCAGTTACAGGAGGAGGAGGGGTATTGAACCGTAATCTCCGTGCACGCACCGCGAGCCGGATGCCTGGGGGGGGGGGGGGAGTCCACTGGAATCCTCTGCGATCGAAGGTGCTCCAGAACGCTCAAAGGGAAGGTGTACCGGACAGTGGTGAGGATGCTATACGGCAGCGAGTGCTGGCCCCTGAACAAGAATCACGAAAGGCAGCTTCACGCTGAGATGAGGATGCTGAGATGGGCCTGCGGCTGGACGCGACTGGACAGGGTCAGAAACGAGGATGTCAGAGCGGTCATGCAGACTGCCCCTGTCCAGCTGAAGGTGAGGGAACAGCGACTGCGATGGTATGGGCACGTGCTAAGGAGGCCACAGGACCACCCAATAAGGAAAGCAATGGACTTCGAAGCGCAAGGCAAGCGACCGGTGGGGGACGTAATCAAGAAGGACCTAAGTGAAGTCACGGCCACAGCAGAAGATGCCCTGACAGAGCGAAGTGGCGACGACTGACAAAGACAGCGGACCCTGCGACTGCGCGGGACTAACGCTAGGGAGAAGAAGAAGAAGACTGAGACCTCTGGAGAGAGTTCATTGGCTTTTGACGCAGTATTCGTCGATTCACGGCATCCAAGCCACTGGCATGCAGCATCTGATTTGCAAGAAAACCTACTTTTCGTCGCAAATACTCAGCCAAGCGAATGTTTGTCATAACGTCACGAATGTCGTGGAATATCTTTCCTCATTTTCAAGGTGGTTGGTGGTCAATCTGATCATGAGATATCTACGCTTACACAGTGACGGTTTCAGCGGCCAACTGTGCTCTACCTTAAAGGAATCCTTCGCGGAAAATTCTTGCATTCTTTCTTGACATGAATGTGTCAGTTGTGATCACTGGAAACAGCACACAAAGTTTCACGCATGAAGATTCGGTTTCCGAAGAGAAACAAACGTACAAAAACTACATTCTATGGACAATCGAAGGTAATTCGGGCGGAGCCAAAGGCGAGGCATGGAAAGAAGTTGGCCTTTGGCCGGCTACGTATCAGGCGACGCAATGAAAAAT